CACTGAAAAACAAACTCACAAGAGGAACACAAGGAACAAAGAAGTGAACCCAGCAGAGTCTGACACGACGGCAAAGCTGCTTTTTTCTGATAACGACTTAATTATTCTGTTATCTGGAGTCGATGACCTTTTTGTTTTCTTGAAACAAGGTAAATTAACTTCCTGCCTCAAGAAACAAATTGTGTTTTTGGAGATTACATTGCAGTTTTTGTCCAACATTTGAGTGTCTGCTTCATTTAAAGATTATCCTGACGACGGGGGACGTTTCATGAAAATGTTGTCCTCCTTTCTTTACGTACCTTTTATTAGTGTTTCTTAAAAAGCCACCAGAGGATTTATTTCTGTTTTACAAAATACTTTTATCAAAAGAAATTAAGATTATTTTTTATGCACAGAAACTTCAGCAGCTGTACTAATTTGATTCAATTTCAATCCTTTTCCTCCACCTCCCTGCTTCCAAATTCTGACTTGTGTATTTAAATTTTGTTTCAAACACCTAAAAAAATCCTGCTTCCTGACTCCAACTTCAGCTGTTTGAACCATTTTAAAGCTAAAGAATAAAACTCAAATATCAAACTTAGTTAATGTTTGCATTGTTGTCCATCTAACCAAGTTTTACTTATATCAGCCGAAACTTATTTTTAATCTCTAATCTTTAATAAAAACACAGGTGTTTTTCCAGGGGGGCACAGACAAATAAAGAAAGGTATTCTGGGTTTGAAAATTCAAAATGGCCACCACAGCTAARTCCAAATGGTTTTAATTCAGTTGTTTTAACAAAGACTAAGCTGAAAATTTGTGATCATAGCTATGATCTAAAAGAGCTGCTGAATGCTAATCCCAATTTATTCGGCCATTTTTAGACGCACAAAACTCAAGATTAGTGTAGAAGTAGCCGAAAGCAATCTTTACGAAATCCTAAACGCTAATCAAAAAAATTCAAGATGGCTGCCACAGCTAACMTTAAAAGGCTAATTCAAACTTTTTACCACTTATTGATATGAAATGTGTTGCGGAGTAGCTAAGAATGATCACGTGCCGAATATCAATGCTAATCCCACATGAAGCTATGTGCTAATGCTAATTTTACAAAAGGTTATAATTTAGCCATTTTTAAAAATGCACAACTGAAAAATCATAAAGTACATTAATATCAGCTCTGGCTCCGCCCCCGGTCGTACGTCAATTCAATCTCTGTCTTTCAAATCAGTTTTAGATAGAAATCATCTTTTGTTGAGAAATAATGGAGTTCTACCTGCTTTTTSTGGGTTTTTGACATGCCTTCATGCTCAGTGGTATGTTAAAAATGACTCTCAGCTACTACCACATGAAGTAAAACGAAATACCTTAAGACTTCAATTTGATTCAGTATATTCTCACTGCCCATCATGATTGATGGAAGAGATGGTTGGAACTTCCTCCTCCTCTCTCCTCTTTTCTCCTGCTCCATTCACAGCCTCTCCTCAGCTCATCTGGGATTCAGGGCTGTAGTTCAGGTATTATTTCAGCTTTTGAGATGTTAATCAGCTGCTCCAGGTTATAACAAACCACCATGTACAAGTAAAAGTCATAAAACTGTTCACAAAAATTGGGAAAGTTAAAAGTAAAAGTAAAAAGGAAAAAAAATTGTATAGGTCCTCTGGACGGGTTCTTCTTTAATGAAACGTTTCGTCTCTCTTCCAAGAGACTTCTTCAGTCTGAGAGTTGCAGGCAAAATTCAGGCTTTTGAGTCCTGCCTACGGT